GATCAAACATACCTCCACCCTCCAACCTTTGTACCAGTTCTAACACCAGCCATCCCTCCCATGGCACTATTTCTCTTCTGGGTTTGATAATTCATTGCAATGGTCACAAAGAACTCACAGACAATACTCATAATTATGGGGTTTATTAGGGAAGTAGCAGGTTACAATTCAGGTTCAGAAACAACTTAGAATACAGCTCTACAATCAGTACAGCCTCTTCTCTGCCATGCCCGCAGGAAGACCTCGCTCTCTGGCCCTTGGTCTCTTGGCCTGGTATCTGCCCTGCTCGAACAAGTGTTACAAAGTTCTTCAGCTCTGCTAATAAGTGCCCAGAGGCACCTCACTCCGCCAGTAAGCCTCAGCCTGAAGGCACTTAGCTCCCTCTCACTCCATGGGTGAGGGAGCCTACTCCGCCAAGTGCCCGAAGGGACCTCACTCCACTAGGAAGCCTCCTGCCTGAAGGTGTTCAGCTCTCTTGCTCTGTGACTCGGCACACCCACCACAGCCACCTCTCTCCATGGGCCAGGAAGCCCATCACTCCATATTGCGCTGGTATCTTGGTTCTTCTGCCGCCGCCACTTCTTGCCGTCTTGTATGACAGCTGTCTGTCTCCTGGGTCTAGGAGGTTCTCAAAGGGTCCAAAGGGCAAGCTACCCTCCTGGGTCTTCTTTCTTGATGGTAGCGAGGTCCTCCCTTCCCACCTCTGGGATGGCTCATTTTAAGCCTAGCAGGATAGCAAAACCACCAATCCCTTCATTAGGGTTCCATACACCTTATTTGCATGGTCCCACCCCCACAACGGTTTCCTGAACCTTATTTGCCTTGTTAGCAAGCTGCCCAATCCCCTTGGTGGGCCACGAGCATCTTAATTGCATAGTCCCACCCAATCACTGTGTGGGAGTTATAAGACCATGGCTAAAAGGGTATTATTAAGTAATTCACTGCACTGCCGATACCAATAGCAGCTAACAAAAATACTCCTTACCAAGTATCTTTACTCATTTACTCCTTACAATGACCCTGTGAGGAATGTATTATCATTACCTTTTTTATACTCATAAAAATAAACTTATCATAAAGTTCAGAGAGGTTAGGTAATATTATGAATTGAATTGTGTCCCCCAAAAGTATGTGTTGCAAATCCTAACTCCTATACCTATGGTTATAATCACATTTGAGAATGGGTTTTCTTTGTTACATTAATGAGACAGTATTACAGTAGGGTGTGTTTTGAGTCAATGTCTTTTGAGATATAACCAAAAACCAAACCTGTTGCTGTTGAGCCAATTCCGACTCATAGAGACCCCCATGGAGAAGAACTGCCCCACAGGGTTTCCAAGTGGTGGCTGGTGGATCCTAACTGTGGACCTCTTGGTTAGCAGCTGAGCTCTTAAACACTGCACCAGGGGCAGATTAAGCAAGGAAGTCGAGATGGGGGAAGATAGATGCTATGCCACATGAAGATCACCAAGGAACCAGGGAGAAACTGAAAAGACAAATAGCTTCCCTCAGAGCAGACAGAAAGAAAAGCCTCCCCTAGGGCTGGTGCCTCCTAACTGTGAGAAATAGATTTGTTTGTTAAAGCCACCCACATACGGTATTTATGTTTTAACAGTGCTAGATAATTAAGACAGGTAACTTGCCCAAAGTGACATAGCTGGTTAGCAGAGAATGGGATCAAAACTCCAGCAGTCTGGCTCCAGAATTTATGCATGTAACCCGTTCATCCCTCCAGTTTAACGAGCATGGACTCAGCAGAGTTAGAGAAACAAGGCATCATCACTACAATGGAGGAGTTTCTAGTTTGGGAGGGGATTAACAAATGGGATGCTTAATAAACTCCAGAAAACTTTCATCAGTATGGGAAGTTCAGTGATAATGGGGAGACCAAACCCTTTGCTGCAGAATTGACTGCAACTCATAGCAACCCTATAGGACAGAGTAGAACTGCCCCATAGGGTTTTCAAGGCTGTAATCTTTATGGAAGCCAACTGCCAGATCTTTCTCCCGGGGAGCTACTGGTGGATTTGAATTGCTGACCTTTCGGTTAGCAGCTGAGCACTAACCACTGCGTCACCAGGGCTCCTTCAATAGGGAGACAGTAGTGGTTAAAAGCACCGGCTCTGAAGTCAATTCGGTCCTGAATTCAAATCCTCTTTGTGGCACTTACTACCTGTGTGACTTTGTGCAAGTAACCTAGTCTCCCTAAACTAGAACACAGTAACCAAGTTTTATAAATGGCAATATTAGATAACAAAAAAAAAAAAAAAAAACTATACATACAGGGTGCTCTGGGAACCCAGATAAGTGAAGTCCAAAATCAGGGCTCAGTCTGGGGGTGGCCTTGGGACCGGGGTCTGAAAAGTCTATCTATTGGAGTGTGTTACACACGCAGGTTGCCGTAAAGGCTATCTCCAGATCCCAAGTACCCACCAGAGTACTGGAAAGAGAATTCCTCCCAGTGGCACCAACCACTCCATGGGTGTTATGTCCATTTATCCTGATTAAGTCGTACACATGAGACACGAACAGGGTGTTGATGGCAATAGTGAAAGCTGTTTTAATTACTCACAGACAACATACAACAGGAAAAGTTCCATCACGAACAGCTTCCCTGGCTCAAAAGATGGCCAGGCAGGATAGAAAACTGCCACAGACGCCCCTCTCTCTTTGCACTGTGAAGGACTCTGAGGATCTCTCCCATTAGGTTTTGTATTCCAGCGGCTGTATATTTCACGGCACAAAGTGCAATGCAAATTTTCCTGCCTGATCACCTGAAGAGGGAGAGCAGTCAAGACGTGGGGGCGCCAGCCCGGAATTGTTAGCCCAGAATTATATCTCATTAGCCCTGCTGCTTATTTAAACAAAACATTAGGCTTCAGAGGGGGAGGTGCAATGGTTTGTTCAGAAGTCCAAAGATGCTAGTCGGGGTGGGGGGAAGGAACGGGGAGTAAATTACAGCCATTTGTCAAAGGACTACTGCCTCTCAAGTTTCTGTATGATTTCTCCTTATTTTAAGGTTGTTTCAGCATAATTTAAGGTGTGATATAGGCAGTATTTTACTGAGAACCCTGAAATACTATCTCAAGAATGCCCTCCTGGAAAGTGTAAAATAGAGCTAAAATCCCTAAGACCCAATTTTCAGTTTTTCCTCCACATAGCTAGTCAGGTCAAATGTAATTTCTAATGCCAATAAAATAAAATGTTTCTAACATAGTGAGAAAGGACTACAAATTCTGGGGTTCTGTGGAGCAAACTGGACCAAATTCTGAAGGTAGATCTTAAGTTCCACTCCCTACACACACCCAGTTCTGCCATGAAGCATGTAGAAGCCAGGACTATTCCAGAAAGATTTTTTTTTAAATGATCAAACACACAAAAAAGTATGTTGAATCAGCAATGATTTAAAACAAACAGTTTAATGTTAGAGTTGGACAACATCATCAACCCATCGACATCTGAGGCATCTGCCTGTAGTCCATATAGCCAATGTCCACACACAGGGTTTAGGAGTCCCTGCAGAGCCCTGGTGGGGCAGTGGTTAAGTGCTCAGCTGCTAACAGCAAGGTGGGTGGTTCCAACCCACCAGCTGCTCCACTGAGAGAAAGATGTGGCAGTCCACTTCCATAAAGACTATAGCCTTGGAAACCCTATGGGGCGGCAGTTTTACCTTGTCCTATACTGTCGCTATGAGTCGGAATCTACTAGATGGCAAGGGTTTTGTTTTGTTTTTCCAAATAGAATCGCAACGAGTCAGAATCGATTGCACGGCAATACCAGGGGTCCCTGGGTGGCACACAACCAGTTAAGCGCATGACTACTAGAGAAAGGTTGGTGGTTGGAACCCAACTAGAGGCGCCTCAGAAGACAGGCCTCGAAACCCCTACAGAGCGGTTCTACTCTGCACACTTGGAAGCCACTTGATGGCAACTAACCGTAACATACACAGGGTATTCTCAACAGCTAGTCAGAGCTAGCCAGGCTGTCATATTCCTCCTCTTTTCCCTGCTCTTCGATTCCGTGCAGATCTCTCATTCTTGAGACAGGTTCCAACACAAATGTACAGTTTTCTTAACATTAGTCAGCCACCTTATTGGACTTTCCAAATGTCTTCAACCACCTATCTTGTAAGATCTTTTAAGGGCGAGTTGCTTATATAGCTTATGTCAATCATTACATTTCTATGTTTCCTAGTCAAGTACGTCCGGGCTCTCACCCAATGTAAGGATTGCCTCTAGCCACACCTGCAGTCGCTTAAGTATCCAGCATCACAGAATAGCTCGAGAGACTGCGACCTCGATCCCCTAGTCGGCCTGCCCAGGTCCCTTTTTTAAGGTCTCCAGGCAAGGGCTTCACCCTTCCCTGCGCGTCCACCAGGCAGGAGCCCCGCGACCAAGTTTCTCCCGACCGGCATTCAGACAGTCGTCATTTTGCGGTGCTTGGGCGCTTAAACAGGGATTCTGTGTACCGAGCGAGCTACAGTATGTAAAGCCTTTAGCAAAATTCCTGACACAGAGAAAGCGTTCACTAATTTTTAATTATAATTAATGCAAAGCGTTATCATGCATAATTCGATTCGGACGGCCAGGGAGACAGTTTAAGTGTTATCACTCTTGCAAACGGTGAAATTATTATTAAAGTGTAATTTTGCTGGTGGAGGAAATGGGCCAACATGGAGGGCAAAATGTGACTTCTTCAGACTTTAAATGAGGGTTATTCGTCTGTTGGTCAATAAAACTGAGGGAGAGGGGGTAGGGCCCCCTTCTTTTCAGTCCACGTTCCCACAGGAGGACGATGCTTCTAGAAAGACTGGACTGTACCAGAGACGGGAAGACCCAGAAACGAACCGCCCGACTGCGTGTGTGGCCGGTCGCCTGCCTCTCGATCACAGAGTCTCACTGCACCTCGGGCAAAATTTCTTAAGCGGAAGGCGGCTGCCTTGGAGCCTTAGACCGGTCGCCTCGCCGGGCTGACGTCATCACCGAGCGCGGGGTCAGCAAAGCGATTTTAGGGAGGAGATTCCCTCGCCACCTTATAAGGTCTCTTCCCATGATCCTCTCTTTCTCTTCGCCATCTTCCCTGTTCCCTTTCTGTTGGAACCATGAAGTAAGTAGAAACTTTGGGTCTCAATCCGCTTCCATCTTCGGGACAGATCGCTGCTCCGGGCATGGCCTCTCCTTGCCGTAGACACCTTCCCTAATGGGCCTTCACTTTTCGTTACAGGGTCGAGCTGTGCAGTTTCAGCGGGTACAAGATCTACCCCGGACATGGGAGGCGCTACGCCAGGACCGACGGGAAGGTAAGGGGCCGCGACGGTTAAAAGCAGCTTCTTGAGTTCCAAGATGGGGAGGCAGATGAAATTCTATCTAGGCGGGCTTATTCCCCACATCACCCTTGGTTCCGGAAAAGGTTAAATGAGAGAGTTGAGAGGCGTGTAAGTGAACCAGTCTCGAGCCTCGATCCAGTGCAAGCGAGCTTGGAAGTGAGCAGGGGTTTGTATAACTTTAATGCCTCTCTTGGCGAAGGGAAATAATTGAGGGTACCAGATCCTGTTGGAATGCCGGGAGAAAACAGGAGCTGGACGCCTCCCAGAATTTGACACCCTACCCTCACCCGCGTTATGAGCTTAGGTAATGCCTGCTCTAGGGGAAAGACCGGACCAAACGCAAAGACCTTCGTGGTGCCACCCAGTTACCTGCCAGCTGTGTGATACAAGCCTTTTGGTCTTTCTGAGCCTCAGTCTTAAACGTTAATCTCCTAAGGATTTCAAGCTCAGCCTCTTCTGTTTTGTATAGTTGAGTAAGTAATTTGAATTTTTCACGATAGGTTTTCCAGTTTCTTAACGCAAAATGCGAATCGGCATTCCTTTCCAAGAGGAACCCTCGGCAGATAAACTGGACTGTCCTCTACAGAAGAAAGCACAAAAAGGGACAGTCGGTAAGTAAGATGCGCTTTGATGTTACTTAAGCTTTCTGAGTATCAGTTTTGAACTCTGTAAAATTACAACGAGACAATATGTTGAGAGTGCCCTTAAACTGTAAACAATGAACAACGATGTGAAATTGACATAAAACCTTATCTCCTTTTACATCTCAGGCTCCCGGTAAATGCTGAGCTGAAATTTGGAAAGCATCCCCTTGCACACGTCACATAAGTTAATTAAGCACACTTGGGTTATGGGCACCCTGAAAGGGTTTAAGGTGTTCCAGTGGGTAGAAAGTGAGCAGTTACTGTAATAACTTGACTTGGACTATAGTATTTGTTGTATTAGTTCTAACATAGAATAGACATAAATGGAATCTTGCAGCATACTGGTTAATTCTCAAGAAGCCTGGATGTGTTTTGTATCTGCTTTTTTTTTTTGTCTTTTTGAAGTGTCCTTTTAGCTGGATGAAGGCGATTCGTGAGAAACAAAAAGTTTTGAGTTGCCAGGGCAGTAGGATTAGTATCCAGAAGCCTTGGAATATTTAGCGAACACCTCCTGGGTGTGAAAGACACCAGTTGGTATGGTGGAAAATAAATGCCATGAAATATATAATAAGTTTAAAATGAAATGAGTATTTCTTTTAGCCACACAAACGTGCCCTATCTTCTCCATGTTCTGTTAAAAGTGTTTAAGACGTCTTTGCACATACCTGCCTTAAATCTTCAAATATATTTTAATTTTTCTTAGACTTAGAGGTGACCTGCGAGATCTTTTTTTCCCTGCCAGTAAGCACTCTAGGTTTCCAGTATAGTATCTGAAGGCATTGTTACAATTGCAATTTTGTTTTCATCAGTATTTCTTTGAATGTTAAAATAGGTAAGTTGAGGCTTGGTGTGTTTTCCATAAATTCTTAGAAGTAAATTCTTATTAAAATCAGTTTTAAGGTACTATCCAGTTAATGAAAGAACTAATATTCCTATAGTTTAAATTTTTGTCTTTTAATAAAGTAGTAAAAAGTGGGCAAATTTGTAATAGATGGTTTAATCAATCCATACGTGGAAAACTTATGGAAACCTGCATATTTAAAGTTGTATATGAATCTCGAAGGACTTAATTTCCATCTCCCCCAAATTCTTGAAGGCAAAACTCATTAAGTGTGCACCCTGTTTTTTTGTTTGTTTTGTAGGAAGAAATTCAAAAGAAAAGAACCCGCCGTGCAGTCAAATTCCAGAGGGCCATCACTGGTGCATCTCTTGCTGATATAATGGCCAAGAGGAATCAGAAACCAGAAGTTAGAAAGGCACAGCGGGAACAGGCTATCAGGTGAGGAATGTTTCATGAGCATTTCAGGTATTGGATGGATTTTAGGTTATACTGTTTGGGTTTATAGGCATAGGAATAATCTATGTATAATCTAATGGTTTGTTGTATATGCAATATTAGTGTCAAAGCTATTGCATGAGTTCCACTATATGTTAAGCTTGTTTGGTGGCTAATGAAATTTGTTGACAAACCTTTTGTATTTTACCCTACAAATAAACAGATTGGTCAGGAATATGCTCTACTCTCTCCATACACTCTAGGACCTTACTAACAAGCTGTACCCTTTATTAAGGACTAATACGCTTCACCTTAAGTTTTCGTTTTTAATCCCTCAGGGCTGCCAAGGAAGCAAAAAAGGCTAAGCAGGCGTCTAAAAAGACAGCAATGGCTGCTGCTAAGGTAATCGTGGGGTTTTCTTAGATTTCATAAATAAAACAACAGGGAAATTTATTTTTAATCCAAGAAATTTAGTGCAGAGCACTAATGGAAATGTTCATAACTGTTTTTTGGGTGCAGTTCTCTAAAGAGATCCCCATTTACTGGTGCCAGATGAGTTTGTTAGTGTTAGACAGGAATTTGGAAAGGGAGAAAATAAGTGGGTTTTGTTTTTTTAAACTTTATTTTGAAGTAATTTCAGATTTACAGAGAAATTCTGAGGATAATACAGAGTTGTATCCTTCACTCAGCTTTATTTAATATTAACAATTTGAGTTAACAATAGTACAGTTTTCAAAACTAGAAAATTAAGCACTGGTGCTATATGATTAATAAAACTAGGAACTTTTCAAATTTCAACAACTTTTCCATAATGTCCTTTTTTCTGTCTTTGGAACCAATTCAGGATCCCACACTGTTTTATTGTGTTTCTGTACTCATCTCCTATCTGTGGCATTGTCTGTCTTTGTCTTCATTATAAAGGTGAACTTTTAACGTTTGTGCTTAATTTAAAAAGATTGATATTAGGAATACCATTAAATAACTAAGAAAGCAGTCTAGAATACTTACAGGATCTAGACATAAGAGGAAGGTGGTTAAAAAAAAAATTGCCTGGGATAATATCACATAAAATCATCTTTTTTACAGGCTCCTACAAAGGCAGCACCTAAACAGAAGATTGCCAAGCCTGTGAAGGTTTCTGCTCCCCGAGTTGGTGGAAAACGCTAAGTTGGCAGATGAGACTTTTAAATAAAGATCTTACTATAACTCTAGATTGTGCTCACTTGTTACTCTCAAAACAGGCATGTTGGGTCTGCATGGTAATAGCTGAACTACAAAGTAATGGATTTTTTCAAAAGTTTGTTTTGCAAGAATAATGCCTCTTTAGCAGCAGTCTTGTGTTCTAAAATCCATAGACCACGCAGTGGGGTAGGGATTCCCCTAGTTGTCTGTTTCATAGTCTGAGGCAAAATCTTTCTCTTAGTTCTTTCTTGGAGAGATGTTAAGCAAAATGGTGTGACTGAGATCTGTGTGTTGAAGGCTAGCTTAGCTCAGCTGAGATAAAGGGCACATTGCATGTATGGTTGCATGTACTAGAATGGTACATAAATTATTTAGTCCAGGTTGATCTCTAAAAGATGCATATTTTCCTGTCATTTCTGTCCCAAAAGTAATGAATTATTAAATACAATTTCCTTTTTCCCCAAATAAGTCCAAATTAATAGGCCAAAAAAAGGATAAACTTATTGTTGCTTTGATAATAGACATGTTTGTATTAGGTTGACCTTCTGTTCCTTAGTATTTAGTTAGTGGTTGAGCTGAAGGTGCTTAAAAACGATCTTTTGTTTCCAAGAAATAAGTTTAAAAGAAAGCACTGCTCCTTGAATAAAGAGCTATATTGACCACTGCTAGAGTAGTTTTTTGGTAGTTTGACAGAGTCATAGTTAAATTACCAAAAGATCTTGAGTAGCTTGCTGATGTTCAAGAGATGTATGTATGTAAAATATGATGAAAATGGTTAATTTATGTAAAGAACAGACTTGGGCATCTGCAGAAGGTAGATGGTCTTTATCATTGAGCATCTGTTGCAGACCAAGCTGTGCCAAGTTGCAAGGATACAACAATGAACAAACCACAATCCCCCTCTGGAGTTTACTACAGTAAAACTTGAGAAAGCCAGAACTTGTGTAAGGTAGAAGCTTGTCAGAGAAGGGAAACTCAAAATATTTTCCACCAATAGAGAGCAACAGAAAAGTGGTAAGACTGTGCCCTGTCAGAGGTGGGAAACTTGTGAGACCTGGAAAAAACAAGGCAGTCCCATCAAGTTTTTGCTCTCACAGGTTTCACTCTATTAAGGATTTTTTGTATGTTCTCGTGGAGAAGCTAAAATTGATTTGCAGAGAACTTACCGTATTATCAGTCTGCTACATTCATGGTCTCTATCCTGGACTATCAGAGGTAGATGTGTCTGTTTTTTGGATAAACATTCACAGTACACCATGATTTTGCATGGTGGTCCCTTGGCCTGGCGTATGCATCTCTAGCTTACCTGTGCACCTCCATTAAGCTTCTATTCTTGAACTAAAGGAGGAAGAAGAGCCTCTGAGCTCCTGCTTCTGTTAACTTTCCACAATATAGTTTAACTCTTTCTACTCAACCAGGTTACATACATATTTTAGAAATATACAAAGTAGAGACTTGTGTTGAAATCTTACGTAAACTTGAGAAACATGTTTTTATACATACGAATACTAGATGAAGGTTAAGTCAACATCAAGTCTTCTCTCTACCCCCCATTCTATCCAAGGTGATGGAATTAATGATTGTTTTTCATTCTAGTGTATGTTAAATTCAGGCATTGTTCTAGGTGTTGCAGATAATAAGACCATCCATTTTGGGCAACTGATAACCTGAAAACTGAGAGATACACAAGAATAGTATAAGATAAAGATATAACTAACAAGAATCAGTATAAGAAAGGCAAGATAGAGTACACTAGCTCATTAGTTTAAATATTAAGATTTTACTTGGGGGAAAAAAAGCGTTATAGTTAATTATCTCTGAAATCACAGGTAAAATGTCTTTAAGCTGTGACCAAACAAAGCTTGAAATAACCACTACCTCTTGTCCTAGTACAACAAATGCAGTTTTGCTCAGATAGACAATTTTTACTCTAAAAGATAACTTTACCCACCCAGAAAGTATTTTATTAAAACATCTCCATATTGGCCCGAAGGCACAGCAGAGGAAATATTAAATACTTATTAGTGGGCTTCTGAGTGTTTTCATGTGTTTTGGCACAAACTGAATTGGTGGAGAGGAATTTTTTTTTTTTAGATTTTCTTTAGTAGTATTTGCCACTTACATCCTACCTGTATTACTTAATCAAAATTTTGTTTAGATCTACTCAAATCTTACGTTAAATTTAGTTTTAAAAGGAATCAGTTTCACAGAGTGGTAGGACTGGGCCAGCATACAGACCAGCTTCTTGGAAGGACAATCTGGACCTGAGTTCTGTGTGCCCCATTCCATAGGTGTGACGGGTGCATCTCCACATAATTCTTCCTCCCTCCCGCAATTGTAGTTGGAAAGTCTGCGGATTGAGTGGCTCTACGTAGATCAGGCTTGTGGACAGGTAGTTTTGTCTTTCTTCTGACCCCGGGAACTCACATCCCTACAATTAGTCTTTCAAGGATGCTGCTTCATGTGACCCCAACACCAAATACTACGGAAACTAGGTGCATCGTCCTGCTTTTCAGCCCACTGCATTCCACAGTCCGCCCCTCACTTGTCTCCTCGGGCCAAAGAGCCTCACCTAGCGACTGCAGAACTCGGGAGGGTGGAAGGCGGGAGAAGCGCGTTTGCTGCGGTAGTTTAGCTGCTCTGCTACTCGCTGCTCTGGTCGGATACTAGTCGCTGGGGAGTGGTGCTTCGGGCGGACTGACCAGGACCACCAGTCCAGACTATCAGCTAAAAATCTGAATTAGGACCCACACTACTCCCTGGAAAAGAATTCAAGTCCGCTGGGCCTCATGTGCCCCGGGTGTATGTTGGGTGTAAAATGGCGAACTTTCCCCCGCACGCTTATGTGAAAATACATGCAAATGAAGCTTAAAAAAAAAAAATTCTGCTAGCTACTACCCACCCCTTTCCAACACGATTGCTCTTCATATGTAGAAATTTGTCACCACGTAAATTGATCGTTTCAGAAAAATCCTGAGTATTCCAGGGGTAGTTTGGAGCTAGCAGTTGAAGCTCAAATTTAAATAACTTACTATAGGGTTGCTATGAGTCGGAATCGACTTAATGGCAATGGGTTATCATCGACGGCTTTAGACTTTGTAACGCTTAACTGGAGCCTACATTTTCATGTAAGTGGGGCTTTGTTTTGTTCTATGTCCAGAGGGTAAGATTTTTACCAGTGGCCTCAGTCTGATGTTTTCATGAACTCGGGTGTCTTAGAAAGTAGAAGGGAAAAGAAAATACCCCTCTACTCTTTTGGGCTTTCTCTCCGGTGGGTTCACAACCGCCCACCAGGTCCTACACGTGGCCCCTCAGAAAGCGTGGGAAAAAACGGAAAGGGTGGGGGGGAAGGAAACTGCCAGGACTTAAGATGTCTGCTTAAAGGGAATTCGATCTCTAAGGAAGGGTCTACCAACTTCCAAAATGTACGCCCGCAATCCTGACGTCACCCACTCGGCTTCATGAAGCCAAAGAAAAGCGAGTCTGCTCCAATCAGGGTTCAGTACCCTCACCCACTGCCTTTGATTCACGTCACTTCCGGTGGTGCAGCAGCCATTTTGTCAGTCGCCAGCGGATCCCGCGCGCTGGAGAAGTGCAGTTCCCCCTGGTTACCAACTCGTCCGCTCTCCCTTCGCCTTGCGGCTGCCGTCGAAAAGAGCTCACCAAGGCGCAGCCGTTCCTTCCGATAGTGTCGCCGCTGCTATTGTGCATTCCCCCGGAGCTAGTGCGCTGTCTTCCTCCCCTGCCACTGACAGGCGCCCTCCGGGAGCCGCCATCCGCGATGTCAAGCGAGGAAAGCTACAGGGCCATCCTACGATACCTGACGAACGAGCGCGAGCCCTACGCGCCGGGAACCGAGGGCAATGTCAAGCGTAAGATCCGCAAAGCGGCCGCCTGCTACGTGGTACGCCACGGAACCCTGTACTACCAGCGACGGCAGCGGCACCGCAAGACTTTCGCGGAGCTGGAGGTAGTGTTGCAGCCCGAGCGGCGCCGGGGGCTCATCGAGGCGGCGCACCTGGGCCCGGGCGGCACTCACCACACCCGGCATCAGACCTGGCATGACTTGTCCAAGACGTACTGGTGGCGAGGTGAGAGCTTGCCCGCGGCGAGGGGCGGGCGGCGGCTTGCTGTCCGGGCAAGGCCCGCCAGCGGAGTCTGTTTACGCACTCGGGTTTGAGGATCCCCGCTCCGCTCCTCTCGGACGCCCTTCGTCAGCCCAGCTTTCACTCGGCGGCGGAGCGGCTGCCAGGCGGAGCCGAGAGGGTGGGGGACGCTAAAGGATCCGCACTTCCCACAGGAAGGAGGCCGAAGAAGCTGGGGGCGGGCCCTGGCCGGGGTGGGGCGAAGGGGGCTTCCCCGGGGGCCGGGCCAGCCGCGGGGAGGAGCCGGCGCGACGGCGTGCGGCCGGCCTTGTTAGGTGGCGCCCAAGGCAGCCGTTCTTTCGTTCGGAGATCGCTTCTCCTGCGGAAGCTTCTGGGCGGCGGGCGGTGGGGAAGTTGCGTGCTCCGCGTTTTGAAATCCTGTTTGTGCTGACGGCTTTGACGACGAACGGTTCTCCTTAAGCCTCGTTGCCTTCTTCAGTGTCTTCGCTAGGGTTTTCGTGAACGCGTTTGAGGTTCTCTGGACCCGTTTGCCCGTCTTTCTCTAATTGTGTTATTCCGGCGAAATAAGGAATAATGCAGTTATGTATGTCGTTTGGAGTGGCTGTATGAACCCAGTAGTCTTAAATTTTGTTTTTAGGCAAAAATTTAAAATGTGAAGTATAGCAGATACTCTGTAATTCTTAGTGTTTTAGTATTCTGCTCTAAGAACAATGGGGGAAAATGTGAAAAGCGCTTTTGAAACTGTGACGCAATGTATATACCCAGAAAAGATACGATTATCACCCTGATTTGTATTGTTGGGAAATGTTAGCGCAGAAGTTTCTTGACTCCGTGGGGACCAGGTTAGGAGAGGAGAGCAAGGGTCCTTGGCTTCATCTCTCGCCACAAATTTGATGAGGAATAGTTAGCTTGCTCGGTTAAGATTTGGTGAGATTGTGAGCCCATGTAAGGTTTTGTTTGGAAGGATTTTGCCGCTATCCGTATGGCTCTGGAGAAATTATGAGTCGCAGTAACTTCATCTGAGACAAAGAAATTAGGCTACTATCTGAAGTTCCTAAATAGTTTCTAAACGTTCTTTCCACATTTATTATTCTTAAATGCTTTCGTTTCATTTTGTCTTAAACACCTGAAGAGACACAACTGTGAACAGTATGGAGGGATCGCTGCGTTTTGTGAGGATCGGTTTAGGTAGACATTGTTTTCTTGAACCAGTGTCTCAGGTTTAATACTTTAAGAGAGATTAAAGATGATAGTTATAGCTAAAGGGAGTTATTGATCAGGCTTTTATTGCATACATAGTTCTGGGGACTTAATTTGTTTTCACTCATTTAATCTTCATAAAACCTTGTAAGGTGTAAATATTTATATCGCTGTTTTACAGATGGGAAAACTACAAGCACTTGGAAGTTAAATAATATGTCAAAGGATTACTTTTGTGATTCCACACTCTTCTTAACCACTATTATATGTGCTATATGGGGTTTAGGAGCCCTGGTGGTGCAGTGGGTAATTGACTGCTATCCAACAGTTTGGTGGTTGGAAATCACCAGGCGCTCCGCGGGAGAAAGATGTGGCAGTCTGCTTCTGTAAAGATTTACAGCCTTGGAAACCATATGTGGTCGCTATGAGTCAGATTCGACCCCGTGGCAGTGAGTTTGGTTTTGGGTATATGGGGTTTAATGTTCAGAATTTTCTTTTCTGGAATTGATTATCTGTGGGTAATATCTAATTCAGCTGTTTTTGTTGTTTTTGAAAAAATGTGCTTTGTCTTAAAGAGCAGAAAAAAACTGAGTCTGTGTTTATGTTAGCTTAATTTTAAAAAATAAAAGAAATGCGTTTATGGTTGTGTGGAATTTCAAAATCCGTAACTATCCAGAACAGTTGTTCGAAAAGTATGGTCTCCTAGAAGTGGATAGGGGCTGAGATCCTCCTGGGAAATCTGTTGTTAGGTACCATGGAGTGGATTCCGACCAATAGCGACCCTATGTGACAGAGTAGAACTGCCCCAAAGAGTTTTCTAGGCTGTAATCTTTATGGGAGCAGATCACAGGTCTTTCTGCAAAGGAGAGGCTTGGTCGCTTCGAATCCCAATCTACTAGGTAAAAAATATTTTCATAATACTAAGGCATAATTAATGTTTTCCACACTCATTCTCTAATGAGTATACAGTGGAGTTTTCCAGAGGCTACATGATGTGTGATGTGTGGCAATAGATTGAATGCAGCAGCATATATTGTAATAAGGTTTCTTATTAAGCTACACGTAAAAAGATTTGCAAAAATGTAAAACAGTGCTACTCTTCGCTAATTTTGAAAAAAAAGTTATTTTTCATAAAAATGCTATTTATGTTAACATGTAATGGGTTTATTACATTATTTGATAATCATTATTTCTCTTCATTTAAAATTGGAATTGATAGTCAATAAGCATCAAAGCAGTTTGCCTTCAGTTATCAGCTATTCATTTTGACATGTTTATTTGCCAGTACATTAAAATTTTACAGTACACTTGTTTTTTTATTATAAGCTTATTACTATTACCAAAACTACATAGAAAAAAATACATTCTTTACACAGTAGTGGAATTGAAGGAGTTTTCACAGTTCGTTCATAAATAATTCGTTTCAAATTTTTAAAGCCTTTTCATAATCAACTTACATAGCAAACTTCTGAATAATTAAAAACAGTGCTTAAGCTGATTGATTGTACTTCTGGAGATGGTATTTATAGCAAGTATTGGTAATGGTCTAGAATGATGATCGATAAAAACAACCATTTTTGACTACCAGTTTAAAGTCTGTCATAAACTACAAGTGACCTCTCTAAACAGATAACATACTCTGAAGCCATTGTGGACTGTTTATCCAGGAGCGTACTCCAGTTGGTCAGTTTAGATGCTTACCAGAGAACTGTTCCATTGATTCATTTCTTTTCCATTTTTAAGTAGATTTATAGTGTGATATATTTGCTAAGGGACAGTGCTTCAAAGTCAATCCACTAGAAGTTGTACCAAGGATAGATAACTGGGATTCATTATTTATTTTGCTTGTTGTGGAATTCTGCCATCATAAACTGCTCAGGCAAGGTTGTTAACAACTTCTCTTGTTTGCAAACCATGAAAAACTCAGGCTCAGAGCCTAAAGTTTGTGTGTATTAGCTACCAGATTCATTTCAGAATGTAAACCGTTCATCAGAAGCTGATTTGTGGGAGTCTAGAGTTAAATGCATGGAAAATGTGGAGATAAGATTAAATTATGAAAAAAAAATTGAACTAGTAAAATCACATAGTATCAGTTACTTTAAAGAAGTTCTTACCCTAACAATTGTTGTGTAATTGGTTAGACCATGGGGATAAATTGATGCTGTTACCTAATCTAGAAGATGATGGTGTAATCTCTGGAAAACTTGACAACTGGATTTATGTAAAATAAAGCTGTAACTAACTACTTTTGCGATAACCTCTTTTAAGAAAACAAAACAACCAAAGGACTAATATGCATGGAGACTAGAAAAAGGAGCCTCTGAGCAGGAGGTGGTCATTATATCCAGCACTGGCCAGGGAGAGGCGTTCTTGAGCAGCTTACCTCAGCAAATTGTTCACCTTGGCAGAAGGATCTTTACGTTGTTCTCAGTGGCAGTGGTTTGGGGAGGAGGGAGGGTGCTTTTGACATCTAGTGTGCAGAGGCCAGGAATTCTCCTAAACATCCTACAGTGTACAATATAACCTCGTGCTGAGGTTGAGAATCCCTGCTCTAGAGGGAAAAACTGATCCTCAGGCTCCTTTATTAGGAAACTATGCACTGAGGTCATTTATTTCCTTTTCTTGTGAGTCTATGCTCAGTAAACAACCTTTTAGTAGTAACTTGGTTGGTTTTTTGTTTTTTTTTTAAATTGTTGTCCTTTAAGTGAAAGTTTACAATTCAAGTTAGTCTCTCATACAAAAATTTATACATACATTGTTATGTGACCTTAGTTGCTCTCCC